TGTGGTGGTGCACGGCCCGTGTAAGGGTAAGCCATGGGGGGGGCTCGTGGTGGTGTTTGCCCCTGTGGAGGCAACGTGGGGTCCTTCACCCCCTCGTCCTCGCCGGGAGCTGCTAGCACCTTTTCTACGGCCTCCTTACCTCATGTCCCCCGTTTGAAATGAGTGCGTTGAGTCACGCAGAGAGCAGGTAGGAGAGTTGTGTGGGGGGGCTTGAGGTCTGTTTTGAGACAGACGTGATGATTAAGAAGGCTCCACTGTTATAATAATATCTGCTCTAGCTGTAATACCTATTATACTCGTAATAGTCATAATTTAACAGTGTAAAAATAGTCAGAAAGCTGAGTTGCCACAGGGTGGGGGTAATGGAGTGGGCCATGGAAATTCCTCCAGGTCGAGGAAGGTGAATGACTGGGCTCTGCAGAGGAGGTGAGTATCACGTGTTGCTACCCATAAATAAAGAGAAAATTTGAGTGCCCTCATTTCAACATCCTTTTATTAGAACAAAGCATCTTTTTTTGAGATAACTTCTGTGTTGTGAAAAACATTGACGCGAAAAGTTAGATATTCAATCCGTTTTCCCTACTAAAGACTTCATTTGACAACTGTAAGATGCAAATATGTACTGCCTTTTTGTAAGTAACTTTAATTTTGTTCTTGCTGTTGGTGTAGGATAAAGCCTGGAACCAAAACAATATGTGGGACCAGATTTGCAGCTGTTAAGCCGAAAAGATGTAGCTGAAGACAGAAGAATATCCTTGTCCTGGGAATATTGTGCACCAAATTGGGGGAAAAAGCAAGTAGAGTTAGTTATCATTTTTCACACACTGACTGTTTGAATTCCTCTTTAGCTTTAAGCCTCTGTGAAGAAGGAGACTACACCAATAGCTTATTATAAAAGTATCCTAATTCAAGATTCAGGTTAAAGTAGATTAATCAAACAAACGACTAAAACCAAAAGGCAGAATGAAAAATTGATTCTGGAATTATGACTGCCGCATTAGCTGCTATTTTGCACAGTGATATCAAGATAAGTCATACATAATTTCACCAGTGTTACAGGACAGTCCGAATGTTTAGGCTCTTTGATTCCTGAAGGTGAAATACAGCTGAATTAAGTACCACCTATAATCTCATTGGAAAGCATTCAGAGGATGAACCAAATTGGTATTTCCATAAAGCAAACTGGAAATTAACTGTTTTGTAGTTTAGGGAAAAGTACAACTGTGAGAAAATAATAAATCCTACTTTAGGATGAAAGCAGAATTGAGGAAGAAATTTATAAAATCAGGTAGGCCGTTTAGTACAGACACTTGTTTATGAATAAACAGAACATACTTCAACTTTTGGCTGGTTTACAGAATCCTCAAAAGTTTTGGACACCGATCAAAGTTTTGATGTGTTGCTAATGGCTGCCTGGATTTTTTCCCCCTGTCCTCTGCATAATACGGAAAATAAGAATGTTTTCAAACAGACTTTAGTTGGAAAACATATAGAAAGTTGCAGGTCCTGCGCTCATAGTGCCATCAGAAGCTGAACTCAGTTTGTGATACGGAAGCACCAGCGACGTAAGCTGTGTCCTCCGACAGAATCGCGCTGCTGTCTAAGGTGCTGAAATTGGAGGGCTGCAAAGAGGTTCTGTGGATCCCCTACCCCCCAGGAGGTTCAGTTTCCCTGTTACACAGGTAAAAAGTAAAACCATAGTGAGTCAGGTGTGGAAAGCCTATAGTTCACTCTGATATGTTTCAACAAGGGCAAGCTAGATTAGACTGGTAATTAGTCGTGGCCGTTAGGCTCCCGGTTGTGTTTGTACCAATATAGAGGCATGACTTCTGGAGAGGCTGCATCTGTATCTCATGGCATAATTGTTTGATCATAGTTTACTGCATGCGAGAAACTCTGTGGACTACTCTGGTGTATTTTGAGGTAAAAAATGTATGCAGGCTGCACTACAAAGCTTCCTGGACAACATTTGTTTCTGTGAGCTGTGTTTTATCTAATGTTCTTGTGAAAGTTTTATCTTTTAAGTATGGGCTCATGTAGCGGGATGGCCACTCTGAGTCATTGGTCTTTACTACTGCGTGCCCAATATGAAATCTAAAAAGGTAACGCTCTGGAAAATGAGAACACAATCTCTGAGAAAATTATGATGTTTTACCATTTTTATACATGGATAGAAGCTAGAATTTGCAGGGCATACTTAGTCATAAAAAGCTGTCCGAGAGAACAGATTTGGATGAATTTAAAGAGGATACTTTTTGCTTGCTTCCATAAGCAAGAAAGTTTAAGTTGTTTATCTTGAAGAGGTGAAAGTAAAGGTTCTTCTTGATTGTAAGTGTTGAAATGATGTGTACTGCAGTTTAGCCATTGATAGAAATAATTCAATCCTGTCTCAGAATAGTTAGCTGTGCCAAAGGATTTTCCTTGAAACTCATTTCAATTCCAAGACACACTCGCATCAGGATTTGCTAACTGCACAAGAGAAGAGTGAAAAAAAACCTGTTATGAAAAAGAATGAACTGATTGGTCTCTGCAAACTCCAAGCCTTGGAGATAGTGTTAGGAGGTGTCATGATGACGGGAAGGGTTCAGAGCCAATCAAACTGGGTGTGAAAAATCTTTGCAGAGCTGCTACTTTAAATGGCAGGGTTGGCTTAAAAAAATCAAGTATTTTTATCCTGGAATAAAACATCCCAGGTTAGGGGACAATACGTATAAAGTACACGTTTGCCTTATCTGATATCTCTCAGGTGGAGATCCCATGTTCTTGATAAAGAATTCATAAGGAACACTCACACACTGCACAGCTGATGGTGATTTCTATACAATAAGTACTGTGATTTTGCAATACATTAACATATTATAGAACTATAAATGTAATCAGTAAATTTATTATGCATATTTAATCACTTTACCTTCTTACCAGTTTTGTCGCTTCACATTTGCATTTTAGCATCTATTTATTTTTTCTTTTTGGTTTCGTATTCATGAAACTCTCATTAGTTTAAAAGTTCTTCTCTCTCTGTTCTTCCTTTTGTTTGCCTCTCTCCTAAAACAAATCTTCAAGTGAAAATCCCTTGGAGTTTTACCTAGCCTGACTGCTAGGAAATGGAAGAGCAGAGGATACTTTAAAAAAAAACAAAAAAGCAAAAACCTATTTCCTTGTCAGAATATACTGAGAAGTTTTCAATATCAAAGAATCTTGAAAGAGAAAATCTTTTAATGAAAAAAGCACCAAAAATGCAGCAACAAAGCAAAAATTTTGGAAGACAGTAAACTAGCCATTCCATTGCAGATGTTACACTTCTGCTCAGTCACCACAAGAGGGACATAGAAGGAAAGCTAACATAGCGTTGGAAAAGATTCATAGCAACATATATTTCCTTTTGTTTGGAAAGGTCTTCTGGGATCATAACATTTTGATAGCTTCCTTCATCCCAAATAATCTCTAGAAAGCTTCCTGGACTTTAGAAAATGTGATAATAAGTATTAATAGCTAAAATGGATCTTTTCCCAGAACTTCATAATCTTTTCTGACCTTTTTCCTGCTGGAATGTCTGTAGTAGTGTTGGGATAGGGAGTGTTTGGGCTGCCTGTATTTTTGTTCCATCTCTAGCTATTGGACCAACAAATATTGGAGCATTTAATAGGCACTGGACAAGAAGATTGTGGAGCTATTTTTGTTTACTTGTATTTGATTTTCATGAACTAATGGCTGACGATGCAAATATAATGACAGAACTCATATAAATGCCTTCATGAAATAAGAGGACCATAAAAAAACCCTAAGTAGATGTTGAAAGGTTTATTGGACTCTTGTGGAATTAGAAAGCACAATCCTAATATGCACTAGATCGAAGGTAACGCAGCATGCACATTTAAGCACATGCAGTCTATGAATCCCTAACGTCGGTAAAGCTTTACTTCCAGCCATGATAAAACAAAGGCATCACTAGTTGGGCGTTCTGCTTTGTTTGAGCCAATGATATATTAAGAAGAGTTCTGGGAGAAAGGGTTGCTTTGAGTAAGGTGGAACTAAAGTGTTTTTTTTAATTATAATTAAAATTAATCAGTCCTTAATGCTTACATTTCTATAAGTGTTTTAGCATATCATTAAAAGGTATCTATCAAGTGCCATTGGATTGGATGGTATTTTTAGAAAGCCCTTTAATGCATGGAATGCTTTCATGAACTAAAAACACATCAGAGAAATATTATTGTGCAAATGTAAAAATTCCTCTAAAGTGTCAGAAATTTGGATGCAACAGTAAATGCAACTCTGCTTTGATTTCCGAAGTACCAGTAACGCAGCACGGAAAATTCACAGAGATAGGCCATCACTCACTATTAGGGGAATTTCAACTCTGTAATCCTTCAGCAAATTGTGTAATATTTCTGTCTTTCAACTGATTTACCTGCAGGTTCAATTGCAGTGTGGCTGTAAAAAGTGTCCCTGAAGCCAGTCATGGATAAGTGTCTTAAAACAATGAAGGAGAAGGAAGAGAAGATCTTGAAATTTCTTCAGTGATCTTGACTGGTTCTGCTTAAAATACCTGAATGTGAAGGTACTCAGATATTAAGGTGATGGATGCCATAAAAAGATATAATTGTAGCAGTACATGAAAGCCACTGAATGAAACTAGTCGTAAACTCAGTGCTACAAACCAATTTTCTTTTACTGTCTAAGCTAAGGGGATACTAAAAAGTAATAAACTGTGAAAAGGTAATTTCGTAGTAAAATATGAATTAAAAATATTTTGTTTCAGTATAGAATTTGAAATCTTTCCCTGCCCCCCTGAATATACTTAAATCCTTCAGGGCTCTCACTCCTTGAAATTAGCTGAATGAGTATGAATGTCAAAAGACTGTGTTCATCCTAAACAATGCCACGTTATCACAGAATCTGAATTCAAAGAACTAATGCAGGGGAAAAAAACTTCTTAAGAACAGAACTTCTGGCTTTGTGCACAGTTTTTGGTAGCAAAAATACTAGTTGAAGTGAGCTACTTCTCTATAACTGGCCATAAAATTCAGATTGCTAGCAAAAAGGCATCGTTTTTTAAATCCAAGAAAAAATTGCTAGAATTGATAGATACATTCAAGAGGATACTTGAGAGTAACTGTTGCCTATTAAGACTTTTTTTTTTGTAGGAGTTTAGGAAGGAGCAGACTTGTTAAAAATATTCTGTTTCTAAAGGGGCATCAACAGTTCTTTAAAAGGGATTTCTTCAAAACAGCTGTTGTTTTATCTCAGCTTTAAAACAAATTTTGAAGCTCTTGATTGACTACAAAGACTGTACATCTTTCTTTGTTTTAATTTCTGGCACTTATCCTAGGCAGATGGAGAAGCAGTGAGGTTATTTTGGTGTAATGTAAAATCCAGTACTTCACAAATGGTTTTGATGTGTGTTTAATTTTGTGGACTGGTGTGTCTCCCTCTGTTTTAGTGGGGAAAATGCAAGAGTGGTGAATTTTTAGGTTATCCCTGGTGTCTCATTTAAGTTTATAAATACTTTGAATTTTAGCAACATGATTTCCAATGCGGTAACAACTTTCTTCCTTCTCAAAGCTCTACCGCCTTACAGACATGTCTTTAACTTTGGGGAATGTAACTTGCACAGGGTCAAATATGCGGCTATTTTTTGTAAACAGTATCTTAAGAGAACAAGTTTTTTGAAAAACAGGGGTTTTTTTTTGAGACCCACCCTGTCTTTTTCTTTGCTGGTTGTTTAAGTGAATAACATGGTTCCATTCTCAACATATGTTCCAAATGAATCTTTCCTCCTGCTGTGGGAAAAGTCTGTTAAGTTGGCACTTGTCTTAAAAATGAAATAATGTAAGCAATGCAATTATTAGCTGTGTTGCCTTCTGGGTTTTGCTGGTAGGTATGTAAAATTTTCTGAAGGTTATACATGCGTTAAACCATATAATGTGGCTATATGATTTGGTTGTTCAGATTCCTGTTGGACTAGACACATGCACCCAAGATGGTCCTTGTCCTGAAATACCAGTCATTTCGTTTTCCAGTCACCAGCTCACAAGAATTATGGTCTCTGGCTTTTTCATAGATATGTCAGTTCCTTCTGATGTGAAATACAGAATCTATCAACATGTCTATCCATTGTATATATTAAAGGTTCAGAAAACACTAAATGTAAGATCTTCCATACTATAGTAACTGCTACAGGTAGGACTAGTAATATTAGCAATTTTTTTCCCTCTGTCTCTTGCCTGAGAAAATGCAGATCTAGAATTGAGGGAGAGCATATGTATTAGGTGTCGCAGTAGCTTTGCCAGGATGGAAGCGCTCCCATTAGAAACCCTGTATTTCTGATGTCTTGGGATGAGTGCAGGGCAAGAAGAGGTTGGGTGCCTAAACCAGACTGGTTTCAGGATGGAGAGGTTTACTTGAAGTGGAAAGAATGTTTTCCTTGCAGAATGTTGTGGATTTGAGGAGGAACCAAGCCAGTATTGAGCTCAGGTCATGAATGGTTACAGTGTAGCTGTGTAATGCCTTCCCAGAAGTCATGAGTTCTTTGGGAATGTACCCAGGCCACGGGTGGAATTTCATCAAACAGAGCATATGAAAAGATCAAGAGGACAGTGGGGTCCCAGGTTTTAACAGATTTTGAGATTCACAGTGTGTCAGCAGCTGCTACAGGCGCTATAATGGAAGTATAGTCTGCTTTAATCCCTGCAAGGCCCATGACAAACCTATGAACCCGTCATGAAGTCCGGACGCTGTGCAACTAGGGCTGTTTGTACTAAAAAGTGAATTGCTGGGCTTGATTTATGGTCAAAAAAAAAGTTTTCAAACTGCTTCTAAGTCCTGGTCCAGAAATCCCTGAGCCTTATGTCAAATGGAAGAAGCCAGAACACAGAATCCATTTATGCAGTTGTTAGCAAACATTATTAAGAAAATGAAATGTTGTTGAACTAGATCCTATGGCCTTGATTTCAGCTATAGTTTGAAGGCAGTGCAAAGGTGTCATGGGAAGCTTTCGGGTAAGTAAGTGGTGTGCCAGGTTCAGGCAGGATATTAACATTAGTCCACCTTCCTGGCAGCAGACTAGTGTATGACTCTGGTGGAAGAGATGATTGCAAAAGGGATCTGAAGGAGGTCTGCAGAGCAATAATTCTAAATAGCACTTTAGTAGTGATGTCATTTAAACAAAAAGAGCAATATTAAATATTGAGCAATGAACTCCATTGGATCAAGAGCAACACAAGGCCACTAGCCAAGATGCAGAAGACCTTCTACAGCAGAAGTTGCACAGAGTAGTAAACAGCCTGAGGAAAGTTCAAAGCATATGAGGTCAAGGATGAAAAACCATATTAGAACAATCCTGAGGAGTGGCAGGGGAAATAACCCAATATTTTCTACGAGTTTGAGGGGTTATTAGAAAGTGGAGGGGAGGAAGATTATAATTCCGGTCAAATAATGCATTCACGTATGATCAGTCCATGTGTCTTGAAGTCAGAAGCCAAATCTTGGGCTAGCTGGAACGCTGGAACAACATGGATGGTTGCTGTGATCTCAGATTGATACTAAACTATTCACTTGGGGCTTAAATCAAATCCAGTTGATAAACCTGCATCCACCCCCTCAGTACTGTGGAAGCAGAAATGCCGAAGCAAGACATGGGGTATTATCCTTGTGGATTTGATAACCTGAGGTTCATCAGGTTACATCAAAAATATCATTTAAAAACTGTATTATTGTAGGTCTTTTTCATTATAGTATGACCCAGTCATGGAGCTACAAGTGGTCTGAATTGATGGATCACTCTCAGGCTGGGGTCTGGAGATTAACTCTTTACTAGTGAGTACATATTGTTTTAAACAAATTCTTACTGAATTCAGCTATGAATAGCTGATAGCCTGGTCAGCTTTGCAGGAGGCTGCACATGCCTCACTCCTTTTTCCTTTTTATACCATTCTTTCCATGTTCCACTAGAGGCCACCACAAACCTCATCTTAAAAAAAAAAAAAAAGGAAAAAAAGAAAAGAAAAAAAGAGGGGGCACCTGCAGTACTAAATGGCCAAAGCTCCTGTTTCATAGGGAGATTTAGAAATGGAATTTGGATCTCCCTAGAACAACGTTTCTTCCCACTATGTGAGGAGTAACTCCCAGATGTGACTTGAAGCCAGCAAATGATCTCAGGCAGTGAGATCAGATTTTGCTGAGTATACAGGGTTAGACATGTTCATTACTCTTTCCAGAAGATCTCCTATCCAAGCCATGCATTGATATTTGATTTCCTTGGGAAATGTAGGCCTTCTCTGTAACCTTTACTGCATTTGTATATAGAGACCCTCACAGTTTCAACATTGTCTCCTGCCTTGCCAGTAGAAAGTTGCTTCTGTGGTTGCTATTTATTCACCTGAGGCGTGGGGTTCCTGGAATTGTGTACACTTTCCTGGAAGAAGTGTTGAAGGGTGTAATGGCTTGTGCAGAGAGCATTCAAAGACTGAAAAGATGTCAAGGAGAGGCAAGGCAGCTGGAGTTTAGGGAGAGCTCTCAGATTCCACTCTCATGATAGGTATTTCTCTGGCCGTTATTGTCTCAGGAACTCAATGTCGCTTACACCCAAAGTGTTTTGGCTTGAGTAAAGGTTAATGGAAGAAACTGACTGCTGTGCTAGCCAAAAGCAATTGGCCTTTGTTGAAGGAAGTGTTGCAAAAATACAGAGGACCAAACTTCTGGTTTCCATGTGGAATTAAAATTAGAGTAATTCTGTGACCGTGGCAACTGGTCAGAATATGTGTCCTTATGATCTTTGGATGGGAAGAGCAGTTTAAATTAAATAAGGACTTATTCTGCATCTTTACCTAGTCCATGACACTGAAAAATATTGTGAAAAAGATTAGTTTTGCTTTTGTGGCTGTTTCTTCAGCTTTGGGTGGGGCCAGGAAAAGGAACTGCCAGAACTCTCCAGAGCCAGTTCATTCCTCTGAGATTTCTGGTCTGATATTTTCTTGAAAACTCAAGAGGTTTGGATCAACCTCCAGACTCCATCTTTCTGGAGAACTTCCCACCACTTGTGAGCCTATGTACATGCATGCCATTTTTCCATTTCTCTGGGGGGGAGGTGGGGGGAGAACCATAGTCTGGATGATGTTGAATTTTCCTCTGAGTGTATAAATGATGTACAAAGAAGCACAGATTTCAAATAAAGACATAATCTGTAATGTCTCAAAGGTTATGAAAATAGAATGTCCATGTGAAGAGATGCATGATAAGGTAAACTGACAGTATATTGTGCTGGGAAAAGCATGCATTTAGTAGCCAGTAGCTTCTTTGTTTCCACAGTCAGTGAAACAAGCAGTTGGTGGAACAAACCGTTTCACAAATGAAACTGCTTTAATATTAACTGGCCTTTTGAATTGATTCTTTTGACTTCTACCTGTTAATAACTTTCTTTTGTTCTGGGCCAGGTAGAACAGGCATTCCCTTCAGCACAGAGAAAGTTGCAACTCGGAAAACATTTCTGAGTATTCCCTGTCTGCTTTGAGGCCTGAGTGGGGGCCTTTTGCATGAGAACAGCTGAGTATTTAATGTTGTTATCTAACCAAATGTG